GGTACTTTTATAATTATCTATCTAAGCCAAGGTTTTTTTTTTTTGTTTTTTTTTTTTAGGACAATGAAGGGTTTTAGTTATCTACTGAGTATATTTTTTAAGTTTAACTTGTAGGTGTTAAGAAGATTTTTACCAGTGTCCCAAATAATAATCAAAATATTCTATCATTGAGAATTTTTTTAGGTCTCTTGATATGATAAATATTACAAGAGTTGCATTTGGGGTTCTAGTTCATGGTTCATTTACTTAACCCCGGCAAAGCTACTCTACTACAGGGCATACTCAGTAAATTACAATTAGCTTTTCTAGGTATAATCATGATGATGCTATGTAGCAACAGAAAAATCATTTTTACAATTTACTTAGGGATGAAGACATTAAGTGTTCAAATTCCTTGTATTCTCATGCAAAGTATTATACTAAGGTTTAATAAGAAACTAGAAAAAATTGCATTTTCCAGGCACTCTTACATTGGAGAAATGAATTAAAAGTTTATGTCCCCTCCTACCCCAATCTTAACATTGAAATCCTAACCTACAAGGTGATGGTGTTAGGAAGTGAGGTCTCTAGGAGGTAATTATGTCATGAGGGTTGAACCCTCAAGTCTGGAGACAACTTGGATTAAGATCCTATTAACAAGGGACTCCGGAAAGATGAAATTGTCATAAAGTAGAGAATGAGGAAAGATATATTGTTACATTTTATATTATTTTCTGATGAAGTCTAGGTCCCATCATGCCTAATTTACCTTAATTATGGAATACTTATTAAGATTGAGTCTCTAGGTTGAGTTCTGGTAATCCTGCATCTGATACATGCTGCCCAGGCTATTCTCAAATTTGAGATTCTCTAGGCCCAGCCTCTTGGCTGGTGTTTATAGGCATGGACCACTATGGTTGGCCTTTTCTTTTCACAGGAACAGTACTTTTATTCAATGTGAAACTTGAAAAACAAACACTTATAACAAAAGAGCCTCGTAAATTCTATGCATCCTCCAGCTCATCAGCTTTGTGAGAATAAAGCAGCAGAGGGGTCAAAATTCGATAAACCTTGGTCACAGATTTATTGAAAAACTAGACTAGAGTTTTTTTCAGCGCACTGTGTAACCTGACATTTTTAACTTTTATTGAAAAGAGAAATTTTGACTATATATCTTTTAAAAAATGCAAATTGAATATACAAGTTGATTATCCATACTAGTAGGGTTCAGCATGAATTTTTCTATGTGCATATAGCATGAACTGATCAAATCCAACTTCCTCCTTTTTGATCACCCATTCTTCCTAATCTCTAGTGGTCATTTTTATATCAACATTTTTAAGACTTCTACATATAAGAGAGACCATGGTGTGCTTGTTTTCCTGTGTCTTGCTTATTTTACCTGATGTCACCAATTCCATTTTACTGCAAATGACAGGATCTCATTCTTTGTGGCTAGGTAATATTTAATCATACATACATTATATATATATACATATATATATATAAATGACACATATAGTATATATTATCGCTATATAGGATACACACATATATACATATGCATATATATTCAATCATTCATTTCTGGGCATCCAGACTACTTATTTATCTGTTGTGAACTGTACTGCAGGCTTTGGTATACTGATTTCCCTTCCTTTGGATATATAACTAGAAGTGGGGTAGCTAGATCCTCTGGTATACCTATTTTTAGTTTCTGAGGAACCTCTATATTGTTCTGCATAATGGTTGGGATAATCTGTATTATCATCACCAGTGTATGAGTTTCATTTCTACATATCTTGGCCAGAATTTGTTTTATAATACCTGTTTTCATTGTAGTTAGGATTTACATTTCCCTGATGGCTAATGCTATTCAGTGTTTCAATATGTTAAGTAACTAGATTAGTTTCCCATTTTAAAGTTAATGATTTGCTCAAGTCTTTTTTGGTTTCTAAGTATTCTAGCTCTTACCCCTTTGTCAGAGAAGTAATGGCAAATATTTCCTCTCATTCTGTAGGTTCCCTGCTCATCCTGTTGCTTCTTTTACTGTGGAGACATTTTGAGTTGGATTTCATACCAACTAGTCAAATTTTGCTTTTGTTTCCTGCCATTACAGGTCCTCTGCTGAAACCCACAGCCCCTGTGGGGGCCTAGAAAGGCTTTCTCTTTTTCAAATTCTAGTGGCTTCAGATCTCACATTTAAGCCTTTGAGCCCCACCCCCCACACCCCATTTCAATGATGTTTTTTTCCTTTTTTTGAAAATAGATTCTTTTCTTACATGATATATCCTGATTATGGTTTGCCCTTCCTGTATGATTCCAAGTTTATCCCATCTCCCCTCCCATCTGGTTCCATCTCAAGCAGAGAGTGAGAGAAGAGGATCCAATGGGAATCCTTTGTTTGGGGATGCACTCTTCTGGGCACCATTTCTACAGTGAGTGTTTACGAGAACTCTGTTAAGCAATGGTTATGTGTGGGTGCATGGCATCTCTGCTCAGTTGCATTGTGCCACTTGTTTCTTTTGCCAATGCCATGCTGTGCAGGACATGCTGCTGCATAGTAGATCTTGAAACCAGCTTCTGAGATGCTTCCAGCTTTTATCCTTTCAGGATTCTTTTGGCTTTCTAGTTCTATGAACAATGTCACTGACATTTTGCTAGGGCTTACATTGAGTGGAAGGTATAGTTAAAGAATATTAATTCTTCCAGTCCACAAACATGAGAAGATTTTACATTTTTAAATGTCTTCTCAAGTATATTTCATCAGTCTTCTATAATTATTATTGAGTTCTTTCACTCCCTTGATTGATTATTCCTCAGTATTAGTTTGGTAGATATTCACTCATTGCACTGTCCATAGTTCACACAGCAAGTGCCCGTTGGGTTCTTTCTGTGTTGCAATACTAATCCTTTAATAGACATCTAGTGTATTTAGGTCACAGTCAATCTGGGATGCTACAGACCCCTAGCATGGACTTTACAACCATAAAAGCAGTTCTGACTCAAAACTGAGCTTATAGCCCCATTGGTATTTGCTGGGAGAAGACTTGGTTGTTCATTAAGAAAGAGGTAAGTGCTAGGAGCTTCTTCTCACATATCTTGGATCTCATACTTTTATCTTACCTTTGTTTCTGCTCTCCTAGTTCTCTGTGAGCTGGGGATTGTTTTTACTAGATCTTTGGGAGCATGAAGGATGAAGACATACCATTTATGGAGTATACGAGTAGCTTTCCATACCTTCTGGGCTATCACTGAGACCGTTTTCATTGGGACACTAGAAAACAAATTTCAGCCCTGTCAACATGTGTACATTCCTATTTGCATATAATGGAGAAGTGATAAGAGGAAAATGAACCAAGACTGAGTTTCCCAACTCACATGGGAGAAATCTCTAACAGCAGTCTTACTTCCTGCCATCCTTTGGCATTCCCAAGGTCAACAAACATGGAATAGGAGAGGCCAGCATTCTTTACCTGTGCTTAGGCCAGTGAGGTTATTATTTTGTTACTGTGTCTTGAAAACAAAGTTGCAGCTATCACTTACTCATAGGTTATATGAATGAGAAAGTTCTAGAACCACAACCCCAGCTGAAAAATAATGAATGTCTATGATAGAGATAATAAAAGCCATGAACCTTCCAAAATGACTTCGGAGCCATCCTAACATTTGAAATAACTAATGTGTACCTGAATATTTGCTCTACTTAAAAAAAAAATCAGCATTTACTTAAAATCCAACTTGGAGTTTGAGGCAAGTTTAGTCTGTAAAAAGCTAGTCTCAGATACTCTGAAATGTTACTAATAGCTACTTTCCCAGTCAGTCCTGCCTACCTCACAGTTTGGGGATTGCTGGCTACAACATGCGAAGATACGAAGATATGAAGGATCCAGGAAACTTTAGGTAAGAAACCCCTATCCTGATATCTCTGTCCTCCATCTCATGTCTTCCTGCTAAATCTGCATTTCTATATATTATTTGGTAGTGTTGGCCATGCATACACATTTGGTATCACTTTAAGAATCTGTACTTCTGTTTGATGGCATCCTCTCTTGTGTTGCATTAAAAAATGTCTACATGGTGTGAGAACGAAGAGACTGTACAGGCTCAATAAAAGAATCAGTTTTGAACCAGTTGATTCTCAAGGCTTTAATACCTTATTTTGGCTCCAAAGATCTCTTGATAAAAAACTGTTTAGTATAAATGTTTTACTCTCTGTCAGGCTTTGATTAAAGTTCTAGTAGACTGAATAATGATAAAAACTTTATAGAGTTATTGGAGAAATAAACTATACTCACCTGCTCATTAGTTTATCAATTCTGGTTGATGGACTTTTGAGAAGTTATATAGAGGGCAATGTCCCTTGGAAGGTGGTAATATTGTTTATATTTTATAAGGAAATTCCCCAGAAAAAAAACCAGAAATAAAATCATAACCTAGAAAGAAAATGGGGGAAAATTCTCTAGACTTCTACTGCTGGTTAGTGTGTGGCCCTGGACATAAGAAAAAGAAACAGAGACTCACACTCACTCTTTTGTATTTTGGTCAGGGCATTTTAAATCATAGCCAAGTATTTAGCAAAAAAGGGGCCAACAAAGGAAGTCATAATGTTGAATAAAAGGCACTCCCTTTGGCTTTTCTCAATTAGGAAACGAGCATGTTAATGCTACAAAAGCCACAGCCTTGGAGTGGGAAAGTCCTGCTCTGATGGAGCACCACTCTGATGGAGCAGCTAGTTCATGTTGCCTGATGTTACGTGTCATAAATGCAGTTTGATATAACCATGCCAAGAACATGTGGTTTAAGCAGAGGCAGAGTGGTTGGTAGGTCTTATATCTGAATTTTCTTGGTTGGGAAATTTGATAGGGAGTTTATCTAGCTAGAGTTTGGAAACCAGGTAATCATTTAGTAAACCTTTCATAATACAAGTTTGACTTTGAGAAATGGACTCAAAAGTATCATCCTGTACGTATTACAGATGCTAGGAGAAGTCAGATAATAGAGCACTCTGCAGGACTTACATCTCTTCCAATCAGGTCCTCCTGGTTTTCCACAATTCCCCAGGGGGCGATACCTATGGTACATATCTTCCCTCGAGACTTAGATGCATGGTCCTTCAAGGCATCTCCAACATGACGAATGACGCCTAGGAGCAGAGAGAGAGGTATTAACTTTATTGTTTAAGGGCAGTGACCTTCCTATCATTCTGCAGGAAATTAAAGAGTGCCTTTAACTTGGTAGAGAGTATTAAATATACAATTTTGATATATTTCTATAAAAACTACGTTTAGAAGAGACTTCATAGCTGGGCGGTGGTGGTGCACTCCTTTAATCCCAGCACTCCGGAGGCAGAGCCAGGTGGATCTCTGTGAGTTCCAGCCAGCCTGGTCCAGCAAGATCCAGGACAGGCACCAAAACTACACAGAAAAACCCCGTCTTGAAAAACAACAACAAAAAAAACCCAAAAAACAACAACAAAAAAGAGACTTCATAAGAGTAGCTATAATGCAGATATATTTGTCAAATTCAATAACAATTCAAACAATGCATTTCTTTAATTCACATGGAAAAACAGAGATTATCTAGTGCCTATAAGGAAGAAATATAATTAGAGGACCCTTTTCTTGTAAGCATAGTGATTTATTAGTATCCTTGCATCCTTGGAATAAAAAGCACAAAAAGTTAATTTATTCTACAGCCTGTGAAAGAATCAGGGTCATTTCAGTAGTTATTTACCTAAGATTTTATTAACCTCAATTTCCTCTTCCTATTTATAGCACATAATGTGGAAAGCCTAGTAATAATGCTGTCTTACTCAATGGCCAATTTATGCTAAAATGTGTAAGTGCACCTTTAATATTCATCTTTCTATTTGTTTCTTCCTTCCGTTAATGATTGCCTCACAGTTAAAAGCAAGGAAGTCCAGATTACAGCAGCAGGGAACCTGATCTTACTTTAAGAAAGCACTTAAAGAATATACAATTTCTAATCTTTTATTTTCCTTCTTGGGCGATCGTTCCTATACATGGCACGTAAGATACATCTTCTAAGAATTTACACTGATCAACATTCTCCTCGCTCCCTAAGAAGCATTCATCCTCAGGGCCAACCCTTCTGCAAACATTAAGGTGGATATAATTTCTTGCACATCTAGCAGCTTGTGAGTCCCCAGCAGCTCCACGTTTCACTGCTGCATCCTCCAGTGATGCCTAACAACATGTGAGATGTGCCCTCTGATGGGAGGATGGGATGGTCAGTGTGCTACTCAGCTTGTGGGCCATGAGGGACAGTCTGACTCCAAACAAGGTCTCAGAAACCATGCATGAACAGGCAGAACACACCAAGCAGCTTCTCCATGGAGACATCATATATGTGTCAATAACTTAGTTGTGACGTAGACACGAGATCAGACAAGAGTTTTCTTTTAGGAATCAAATAAAACTATACTTGAGCCTGAAGAGACACTCTTTTCACCTGTTGGCTTGTCTATGTATCATCTAAGTAAAAATATTGCTGAACACAACTTTCAGACAAAAAAGAGTAAATCCATAAATACTAATGTTAATATGCAAAATACATCAGGGCTGGGTTCAACAAGAAATCTAACTTTATGGTATTCCTCTTTGTCTGCCATGGTTTTTTCTACCTGCTACCAGCTTTAATAGCCATCATTAAAGTCCAATATTCTGAACTAGAGATGAGCTGTTTAATGTTTGGTATTTAGTATGTAATTTCTCCCCCCTCCTACTTTTGAATGCATTTCATAAAACAAGAAAAACAACTAGCAATCCAACTTCCTAAATATAGAAAATTGGTTAAAATTTCTTTCGAGCCTTTTGAACTTTGCATTGGGTGGGTCTCTCTACATCAAGAAAGTAAAAGACTAAACAATTATAAGCAAGCACTTTCTACTTAGTGAAGGTGAAAATGTGGAGGCTAAAATCTGAAGAGTCACTAAAATTGTTCTTTACAGGATCAACAATAAGAGCAGACTGAGCAGGTCACTAGAAGATGTTGCCAGCTGATGGGCCAGGTTGGGATTTTACAACACAACACTGGGCATGGAACATCTGCACAGTTCACTGCAAAAACGTGCCCGTTTAGCTGTGTGTTGACTGCTCACGAATTCTAGCTATGGAGGAGGTTTTACAGTTTTGGTGTCACTCAAACATCATCCAAGCTAAAACACAATTATTATTTAATAAGAACATGTTAGTTCGTCTAGAGTTATATACTCTGGATGTCCCACTAACTTTAAATGTGCTCACATGTACCAGCTTTGAGCCTTATGACACATTTGCATTAACTTATTACAGAGTTGCTAGGGTACTTTTGCTGTTGTTTTGGGAGTCTTTCCCTAGCCCCCTCTCAAGCCCTGGCTGTCCTGGAACTCATTGTTGTAGACCAGGCTGACCTTAAACCCACAGAGATTCACCTGCCTATCACTTCTGAGTTCTGGCATTAAGAGTATGTACCACCATGCCTGGCACTGGTATGCTTTTTTTTTTTCCCCTGAGATGGGGTTTCTCTGTGTAGTTTTGGTGCCTGTCCTGGATCTCTCTCTGTAGACTACGCTGGCTTGAACTCACAGAGATCCACCTGCCTCTGCCTCCAGAGTGCTGGGATTAAAGGCGTGTACCACTGCTGCCCAGCTCCATTGGTATGCTTTTAATAGGAACTCAGGGTATCTGGTAACAAGTTTACTCTATTATCTGTAGACAAGAACCTAACTTTAAGTGGTTATTAGAATTGATTTGATAACATGCCTGTATCATAATATGGAAATTTATATGCCAGGCAGGAAAAAGTATCTGGAATCCATGGAGGGTTGAAATTAACTATCTATTGATACAGAATATTTTAAGAAACATTTAACAGTATAAACACACATGGGTCTGGAGAGATGTTCAGTGGTTAGGAACGTGTACTGCTCTTGCAGAAGATCTGGGTTTGGTTCTTAGTACCCATGTTGGGCAGTTCACAACTACCTGTAACACCAGATCTAAGAAGGATCCAGTGCTTTTGGCTTCTGAGGGCACTACACTAATGTGCACAAACCCATTCAGACACACATGCATACACAGAAATTAATAGTAAAATATTTTAAATAAGCATGTGATAATCTAGACTTAACCTTATCATTCATGCCCCAAATGTAAACAGTATTTAAAAAAATTAGGGCTGGGAAGATAGTCAATGGATAAAGCACTTGCTATATAGTATAAGGGCCTGAGTTTGAATCACCAGAACCCATGTAAAAGCCAGGTACAGTAGTAGTATGAGCATCTGTAGCAGACCTATAGTGGCAGAGAATGGAGAGTTGCCAAAGGCTTACAGGCTGGCTAGTCTGGAGTATAGAGGAGTGAACAGTAGATAAACCCTGCCTCAACAAGACTGAACAAACAACAGAGAAACCCTGCCTCAACAAGAGTGAACGATAGATAAACCTGCCTCTACAAGAGTGAACAGTAGATAAACCTGCCTCAACAAGAGTGAACAGTAGATAAACCTGCCTCAACAAGAGTGAACAGTAGATAAACCTGCTTCAACAAGACTGAACAAACAACAGAGAAACACTGCCTCAACAAGAGTGAAAGGCCAGGATTGACACCTGAAGTTGCTGGACTACATATAGTAGTCATGCCAAGTAGTGGCTATGGCATGTACAATCTCTTTCTCTCTCTCTCCCTCTCTTCCCTTCCCCCGTCCCTCATGCACACACTTTAAAAATGGTATTTGGTATCAACTGTGAACTTGCTTAAATAATGAAGGCAGACATTCCAATTTAAAACAAAAAGTTATTCTTTAAAGAGTTAGTGGACAGCTATGAAAATCTCACCTACTAAAAACACCCTGTGAATTTCCCTTAGTCATGTATACAAATTCTCTAAGTCATGAAATAGCAAAGCCATTTCTCATATGCAGTTTTTCTTAGTTGAAAATTGTCTGTATAGCTGTCCCTTAGGTAAAGAAAGGAGGAAAAGAGGGATAAGCAGGAAGGTGGACACATATGGTAGAGATGAGGTGTAGAGAAATATGGACATTTTCAATGAGGCAAAATTATTCTAGCCACAACATCATTGCAGCTGCCTTTCTTCATTGCACTATGATTACCTGTGTTGACCCCTCCAGTGAAGATCCACGCTCCAGTTGTCATGGCTGCTTTGATGAGCCCTTTCCCGAAGACTTGCTTGAGTTTGGGCTGGAGTTCAAAGTTCTGCAGCCCTCCGTGCACAGAGATGAGAAGCTTGGGAAGCTCCAGCTGCCATTCCTTGGTCATCAGGTGTAGCAAGAGATCAGGTTTCGTATCAAAAGATACTCGGACATACTAGAATGAAGATGAACAATTAGAGAAATAGACAGGACTGCCTGGGGCTGTTTGTCTTTGTGACAGTTATGTGTGCCTGACTTGAAGAAAATGTCTTCAAATGTGAAATCAAATATTTTAAGGAGAGGGGATTATTTCCTTTACCAAAGAGGCCTCAGGAGACAAAGGGATTCCCACTTTTAAACGTTTTGTTGAAATTGAGTTATGCCAATTTGAAAATTGCTTGATTTTTATAAAATGTAGTTTAAATACAATTTTCCTGGTGTGATCTTTTCCTAAAACAAATTATGTTGATATTTTACCATTGTTTATATTTGTACAACAATTCAAACATTACTAATATTTTCAATACGATCAATCCCTTTAAATAAACTAGATGCCAATATAACTGTCTTTGTGTTTTTGTGATCCTGTTATGATTTTGAGATTCCAGAGGACTCTAAAGTTCTACATTATACAATGAAAAATTTAAAATCAGGCAACAGCAGGTTATATTTAACTATAAATGTATCTCAAATGTCTATCTATTATCTACCTACTTATGCAAAATCTATATCAATATCTATCTTCTATCTATAATTTATTTATCATCTATGTATGTATCATTATCTACCAATCAATCATCTGTATTTATATAATTTTTATGATACACTATGTAGCTAGGGCTGGCCCGGAACATGCTATTCAGATTAGGCTGACTTCAAACTCACAGTGAAACTCCCGGTTCCAGCCCTCTAAGTGCTGACATAAGAGAGATGTGGCACCACATCCAGCTCAAATATTTTATCTTTAAAAGACAAGTGACAGAAGACAGGCCAGCTATTCCTATATTCAAAAATGAAACTTATAGTAGAAATCAAGGTTTTTCTATACACAACAGGAAATTCTAAGTATATATAACAAATGCTATAAGTACAAAGATAATATATAGGACCATATACATGGACACATAAGTTTTAGTTCAACTACATAGTTGATGTACTGGGCAATGATAGAAAAATCTTTTGAAATATACTATTGACTTGGCATGCCATGCAGAGATACTCAATTCCTAAAGAAAGTCTGCTTGGGGGCACAGAGCAGGGCTGGATCTAAGAGACTCTCCCAAATCCTGCAGCCCTTCAACATCTGACCTGATGACTTTCTGAAGTCTGGGGGAGTCCTTGGGGAGCCCCACAGAAAGCTGGTATACATTAAAGTGCTCAACTCTGAAACGTTAGGAGGAAAAACTAAGGAATTGTATAAAAGAAGGCTGTAGGAAACTTGCTTATCTCAACCCTGGAAGACTGAGGTAGGCTCTGGGTGGACTGAAAAAAGAATTTGCATTTGATTATTTTTAAAGACAAGCAGGTCCCTACACAGGTTTGTCATCATTACTTAGTGTGATTTGAGAACTAGAACAAGGTATGTTAATGCCAATTGTTTTGATGGAGTGATGGCTCCAGGTAAGCAGCAGAGGCAAACACAGACCCTCTGTGAAGGAATGTGTAATAAATGCAGGCTGGAAATAATTGCATGGCAACAGATAGCTGAGCTAGACCCCCAAGACTGAGAGATGGTCATGGAATACAAAACAGACACATGTAGCATCTTGTAAATGGATATCAAAACAAGGATAAAGAAGCTATAATGACCACGGGCATCTGAAAACCTAGAGCAACTTGTAGAAATGAAAGTGTAATACTGTAAGTGAAAATCGGCATGGAAAAGGAACATACTGATGATGGTGCTTAAAAATCAGCCACATGCAGCCTAGGAAGATGAAGGTTTAGAAAAATACACAGGAAAAAAAAAACAGCTAAAGATGCTCAGGAGAGTATGCAGTAATATTTTGTGTGTGCTCTAACAAATAAAGCTTGCCTGAAGATCAGAGAAGGAGAGCAGCCAGCCACTAGAAAGACTTCTTACCTCTAGGAATCCTTAGACTGAAAGCACCAAGCCCCTGTCTCCACCCCACTTTATCATTTCTTCTCTCATGCCCAGCCATATCACTTCCCATTTCCTCCTCCCAAGTGCTGGGATTAAAGGTGTGTACCACCACTGCCTGGCCTCTAGTGGCTAGCTCCACACTCTGATCTCCAGGCAAGTTTTATTTGTGAGAGCACAAACAAAATATCACCACAAGAGTGCATTAGAATTTCTAGATAAACATGAAGGAGGCACTGCTTAAGGAAGCATTGGTAGGATATTTCTCAGAAATACTGAATTAACCAACTCTCAGGTCCAAGAGCTCAATGGATCCCAGGAAGGATAAACAGCAAGAAACCTCAGTCGTGATGTATCACAGAAAGTACCAACTATGAAGACTCCAGACTGGAAGTCCACTCCTAAACTGCAGTAATGGAAGCTAAAGCCAAGAGAATAGCCTGTCGGTTTAGAGCTCAGGTTTAGAGCTCAGCTTTTCTTTCCAAAGTGGGAGAAAATAGAGCCATTTTATGAATGCCAACCGTGAGTTTCCCTCTGACAGTTTTCACTGAAGTAAAATTGAAGCTTATATGATTCAGGATGATCTCAAACACAGGATGGGATATAACTAATTAGTAACTACATGGTAAATATAAAACCATGTAGATTGCACAATATGTAACAATAATCATGACTAATTTATAGTGCAAATTGATAGAAATAAAGCATTAGGGAATAAATTAATAATCAAAATTACAGCATTCTTAAGTGCATATTACATGGGGGATAGGTAGATCTCAGTCATGGAATACCTGCCTGAAGCTCTTGGTTTGATACAGGGTATGATAGTGCATGCCTGTAATCCCAAGATTTGAAGGGTGGAGGCAGGCAAATCAGAAGTTTGCAGCTATCGTGAAAAATAACAAGAACAAAAATAAATGCTTGGGTCCTTGAGATGGCTCATGAGTAAAGGCTCTTCCTTGACACCAAGCCTGAGGACCTGAGTTCAATCCCTGGGACCTCCTGGTAGAAGGAAAGAACCAACTCCCACAAGTTTTCTCTGACCTCTGTATGCCCACTATGGCTTACACACACATGCACATGTGCACTCATATTACACACACAGAAAATTAATGTAAAATGAAAATTTAAAGAAGTTCCACGGGAGAAAAAATAATTGATTAACTAGGTTTGTTTCACAATACTGAAATCAGCACTTGTAAGGTGGAGGCAAGAACTTCAGGAGTTTGCCGGGCGGTGGTGGCGCACGCCTTTAATCCCAGCACTCTGGAGGCAGAGGCAGGCGGATCTCTGTGAGTTCAAGGCCAGCCTGGTCTACCAAGTGAGTTCCAGGAAAGGCGCAAAGCTACACAGAGAAACCCTGTCTCGAAAAACAAAAAACAAAAAACAAACCAAACAAACAAAGAAAAGAACTTCAGGAGTTCAAAGGCTAGCCTTGGATACATAGCGAATTTGAGACTAGCCTGGACTTTATGAAATCCTGTGTCAGAAAACCCCAAATTATTCACTACCTTTGGCTCAATTAGATTCAAGTCTATTCTTTGTGTGTGTGGTGTATGTGTGTATATATTCATTTGGGTATGCACACGGGCCTGCAAATGTGGACCATAAGTTGATTTTGAGTGTCTTCCTCAGCCACTATCTTTTTATTTTATACATTTATTAAAGTATTGTGTGTGTGTGTGTGTGTGTGTGTGTGTGTGTGTGTGTGTGTGTGTGTGTGTATGCATGTGTCACAGTAGATGTATGGAAATTAGAGAACGGCTTGGGGAGTGGGTTCTCTCCTCCCACCATGTAGGTCCCAGGATTCGATTCAGGCCATCAGACTTGCTGGCAAGTGTCTTCATCTTCTGATCCACTTTGACAGCCCTTTTGTCCATCTTAAATTTTGAGATAAGATTTCTCTCAACTTGAAGCTCAATGGTTTGGCTAAAGTGACTGGCCAGATGTAGCCTAAGACATCCCCTTGTCTCTACCCTCCCAGCACTGGGATTACTGGTGTATGCTATTTCAGGTTTGGTATGTGGGTGCTGGTATTTGAACTTGGGTTTTCATATTTGTGTGAAATTTCATATTTCAACTTTACCAATTGAGACAACCCATAATCCAAGCCCCATAATTCAATAATTTTGAGGTTAGTACCAAGGACCACATGTATAGTAACTGACTTATAAACTAAACTATTTTATAGTCAACTCTTCAATAGTACTCCAAAATGAGGACCAAAGCACAGCATAGAAAATACACACACCAGTAAAATAACCAGCAGTCAAGTATTATCTGTGGCATATGACTGTATAGTCTTTGCTTTTTTAAAAACAAATAGGCCTGGTAGTATAATCACCATACACCATACATCACCACACATCACCATACACATGAACAAAATGTGCTGCTTTTTGACATTATACTTCATTCATGCCACTAAGGGGTGGCGTCTTTGAGCTCCATTGTACATATATGAGCCCAGCATCATACATATGGTCCACTGTTGGCTGAAAGGTCACTCTGTGGGGCCTGAATTCTGCATTCCAAGTACATGTGTGCTAAGTGTTTTACACGTTCCATCTCATATTCTCCAACATTTCCGAAAAGATAGGATCCATACTGTTTCCAAGCTCACACTACTAGTGGGTCATGAGAGGCTCTGGACCCTAGATTTGAGTCTACAGCCTTCTCTTGACCTTAAAGATACAACTTCCTCTTACTCCTTCTCCTTTTCCTTTACATAAACCAGCTAGTCACCAAGTCCTAAGGCGGCGCTTCTCCGAATGGTGTTTTCACCCAGGCCTGGTCTTGGTTCCTTCCACAGCTGTGTTAGCAGTCTATTCCCTTAAATGATGCAGTTTGGGTTCTGGTACAGCCTCCTTGTGGCTTTTCTGGACCTCAGATGCCTAGAAACGCTGACAGGTCAATGGGCTGACTTCTTCCTTTGGTCATACTATTCTGAATTTAAATCATTACATCTTTTGTAAACTCTCTATTTGGGCAAGTAAGTTTCCCCTTAATTTAGCCTTAACCCGCTATTGACAGCTTTTCCCACTTTTCTGTGCATTTGACTAATGCTAATCCGC